CGCCGCCCCGATTGCCGAGCAGAGGGGCGGGTTATAAATAAAATTTTTATTTATTATTATTATTAAGATATTTGGGTAGCATCAATGACTCTTTCTATATACTGCTTGTTTTGGAACATTCATTGGGCCACAGAAAATTCCATCTGTCAGTTCCATTTGCCTTCCAGATGTGTTCCATTGATCTGAGGTGATTACATTTTGACGCCATCCTTGTTAAATATTTCTGTAGGAAAGATGCCATTGGTTGTTACCTGATCATTTTCAAAGAAACCCTTGTGGGAGGTTGTTCTACTGGTGAGCAGGGTGATGTGCAGCATGAACTTTGTGGTAAAGCACATGCTCTACAGGCATGTCTCAAGTTCAGTCCCTGCCATCCCCAGCCAGGGCTGGGAAAGACTCCCATTTGAAATCCTGCAGAACCACTTCCAGTTATTTTACATGTTTACCGAGCAAGAAGGACCAGCAACCACTGTTGCTTGACAGTTCAGTGCCACAGTACTTTACCTGTACAAAAGCTATCAGGAGGCTTGCAAGCTGATGATATCAGTAGTATCTGGAAACCACTGTTCAAACTGGACTCTGTTCCCCTCCTTTATCATTACTTAAACATAAAATGGGTGGGGAATACTGCATAAAATTATTTTGGGATGTGTCTAGACAGCCATTATTCTGTGTTTGCCACAATGGACTTTATGATAAAGAGAATGGTAATAAGACTGGTAATAATTGCTTCATGAATGATTCCCACCCTGTCCCATCTAAAGACTTTAAAGATATAGCTATGTTAGTTTGGAAAATCAGTATGCAACGGGATTTTGTAGCATCTTTGAGGTTCTTTGCAACTGAGGGCCTTTGCAGACTGCCAGAAATAGTGCAAATTGAGTCCACTTTAAGGGTTAGGGTTAGTGCTAGGGAATCATGGGAATTGTTTTTTTTTTTCTAAGACATTGAGCCTTCTCTGTCAGAGAGCTCTGGTGCCACAATAAAATACAGTTCCCATGATTCCCTAACCGTAACTCTTAAAGTGGACTCAATTTGCACTATTTCTAGCAGTCTGCAAAGGCCCCGAATGAATGACGCTAGTAGCATGAACTTTCATAGAATTGAGCTTACCATTGGCCAGCTCAAGTCTACGAAAGTTCATGAATTAGCTTCTTTCTTTCAGTTAGTCTCAAAGGTGCTACAAAATCCTTTTGCATACTGATCTAAAGACTTTGTGATTCTTAAGTGTCTTTGCAGATCAGTGATGGAAATCTCTTCAGACCCTATTTAAACCATATGTAACCTGCTGGAGAATCTCACCTATATAGTGATTAGAAAAAGAAAGTAAAATTAATGTTATTGTATTTCAAAACCTACATTTCATATTAATTATCATAACACATTTTATTTTGTTCGCTCTTTTCGGCTCAGTGCCTAACAAGATAAATCCTTAAACATGACTCATGTCTTTTCAACATGAGGTTTATGTTGGCTTGCATTCATGGGAAAAAATACTTGGTCAAAAGAAGAAGGGATGAAGAGTTATTCTTTACATTGTAACCATAGTTAGAATGGCTTTTGTACAAGGGATAGTTGATAATTGGCTGATGTGATGTGGAAAATATGCACTTCCTTCTCACTTTTTTGGTGCCCCTACTTCAGCTTTATCATTTAAACCTTGTTTGTGTACTGCAGTTTGTCTCCAAGAACACTTGCTGCAATCGAGTCAACATGCAAATTAAAGCAAGATTCCTTTGGCCTGCTGTGCAGTCTTAGAGTTTGAGCAAAACCATTTACTACCACAGATGAGGAGGATTAATTTCTAAAAGAAAAATAAAACAAAGTAATTGTGGGGATTGGGTAGGCAGCAGCAAATATCTTTGACAGGGCAATGCAACCCTATCCATTTAGACTTAGAAGAGAGCTTTGAATTTTGTTGTGCAAAAGAAATTAATTGCATTACTTGTTTGAGACTGACAAACTGTGATGCATTGTGTCACTTGGCTCTACTGGCTCCCAAGGACTCCATTATATTCCTATTTCCATTCCTTCTTATTTGAATTGTATGTTGGAGGAGTCGGAGTCTTGTCTCTTAGTAAAGAGGCTCTTACATCTTCTTATATATATGCATTGTATATTGGCAGAAATTAATTTTTTTTTAAGTTAAACAACTTGTGTGGCCCTATTCCTCCTCTTTCCATTCAGTAATACTGGAAAGAGAGTGACATAATGTGAGGTATGAAGTCAAAACTTTCTTCCCCCAACCAGGTACCTTGTATAAGGAAGAAAATGCAAGAGTCTCTATATAAAGAGACAAAACTTGCCCCACTAGTAATGAAAAATAGCTAACAAACATTACTTACTGTGCCCGCACCATATGGTTGCACCAAAAGTAACTTGTTACAAGTAATGGCATTTTGTGGAATGAATTAGTTCCAAGCTGTGACTGAGATGTAAGTCCTACTGAATGCAGTTTAACATTCTGAGGTGTGTAAAAAAAGCTGGGAATCATGCAGCCCTCCAGATGTTGAACTACATCTCCCAGCAGCCCTAGCCATCATAGCCAATGACAAAGAATGCTGGGAGCTGCAGTCCAACAGCATCTGAAAGGCCACACAGTTCCTACTGCTGGCTAAAAGAGTGAAGCCTAAATGTTATTGTTGGTGGTTGTAGCAGTTTCATTGCTTTATTTCCTGAATCCTCACACATGTGGCCCAATAACTGCATCCATATACAGTCAGCCATATGTGTCCATGGATTCAGTCATCCATACACACACACACACACACACAAAAAAAAAGCAAACCTTGATTTTGCCATTTTTATATAAGGGACACCATTTTACTACAACATTGTATTTAATGGGACTTGAGCATCCATGGATTTTGACATCTATGGGGGTGCTAGAACTAAACCCTAGTATAGCACAGGCTGCAAGTGGCCACAGTTTCTTCCTTGTTTGAATGGAACTGAATGGAGCATTCAGAGGAATGCAACATTGCTTCTTTCATATTCCCTCCATTTTCTTTAAAAAAGGAGAAGAAGAAAAGAATCCTTCAGAACCGCCAAAAGCAAGCCCGCACACAGTGCAGCTCACCAGCCACATATGTCAGCTTTGTTGATAATGTTGTATGCGTTCAAGTCATTTCCAGCTTAAATGGCAACACTAAGGTGAACCTACCCCATGGTTTTCCTGGCATAATTTGTTCAGAAGGGGTTTACCCTTGCCTTCCTCTGAAGCTGAGAGAATGTGACTTGTCCAAGGTCACCCAGTGGGTTTCCATGGCTGAGTGGGGATTTGAACCCTGGTCTCTAAGAGTTGTAGTCCAGCTCCCAAACCACTACACCACACTGGCTCAGAAACGCAGGGCCTTTGCACACTGCTAGAAATAGTGCAAATTGAGTCCACGTTAAGAATTAGGGTTAGGGCAGCAGCCATGAACTGTATTTTTGTGGCACCAGAGCTCTCTGACAGAGAAGGCTCAATGTCTCAGGGAAAAAAATTCCCATGATTCCCTAGCACTAATCCTTAAAGTGGACTCAATTTGCACTATTTCTGGCAGTTTGCAAAGGCCCTTAGTACTCTGTATGCTTGAGACTATTGAAAATAGTGGTCTTTTAAAGCAGACCACATTACTGATGGATCTGTCCTGTTTCTAAGGACTGAGGATTGTGTATCTCTCAATGCCTGTCCAGCAATAATGAATATTCAGTATGTAACACATGTCATTGCAACAAAATTGAGTGGTGGTGTGCTGGTCACCAACTTCAAGGAAGTGTGATGTAGTGGTTAGAATGTTTTACTAGGACCAAGGAAACCTACTGTAGATCCAGGTCTTCGCTCACCCATAAAACTCACTGGGTCATCTTGGGCCATTCATTCTCTCTCAGCCTACCTTGCCTCACAGGGTTATTGTAAGGATAGGAGGAGATGAGCTTTATGTGTCGTCCTGAGCTCATCAGGCAACAGGCAGGATGTAAATAGAGCAAATGAATAAAATAGAAATAAAGTGTGGCCTTAAGGTAGCCACCTGTCAGCCTGTGTGGAGAAGATAGTTCTCTGTTTGGAGGGAAACAATCTGTTTGAAGGTGTGAAAGGGCTGCCCAGTCCAAGTCCAGTTTACAATAAAGGAATAGGAAGAAGTGAGAGCAGCAGCCATGAATTCGCTCATCAGCAGTTAGCCCAACACTTTATTAGCACACAGCTCAGCTGTTCATTGCATTCCCCTCAGTTATAGCAGTTACACTTGAATTTGTATTTATATATGTCAGTTAGCATTTGCTAATTCTAAATCAATGTGCGTCTTCTTTTCTTTTCTTGGCAATGTGGTTCTTCCCTTTTGGCAGTTTGTCAGTGGCTACCCCTGTGTGCCCTCAGCCAAATGCTTGCATTTGATTGTGAGACATATCACATCAAAAACAGCTTCTCTTAGAAACGTTTGATGTTGTGAAATATTTCAGCTTTTGTTGGGTTTTAAGTCACCTTCCTACTCTGTTTGTTTTCTTTGACTGAAACATTATCCTTTAACTATTCCTTGACATCTGAGTTTCCTGTAAATCCTGCCACATCATCTTTTGCTGTGGTTTTGCTCTTAATCTGGGCACTCATTTCTTTTGATTCTGAATATAACTATTGTCCCTGAATGCATGTTTTAGCATATTCTGCATCTTGGGGACTTTTCTCACGGTCACAGCTATTCGCTCAGCATTTTTGAACAGGCATTTTTCTTTCATGGCTAGAAACAATGTCTTGTGGTCTTATTTTGATATTTTCAAGGGAAGAAATGTAACAAAATATGTATGGCATGTATTTTCTCCATTTGGAATAAGGGGGGTGGGGGAGAATGGGTTCCAAGCTTTCAGCCTCTTTGTCCCATAGGACTAGAATGAGAAGCTACGTTACAGTTCTTGTGTATGTTTTTGAGTTTATATTGTCTTCAGAGCATCTTAGTATAGTTTAAATGGGTTGTGGATAATAATAATCTGAGTTGACGTCTCTCTTAGAGTGTTCAATGTAAACAAACCCTTGCTTATAGTGGTGCCTGACTCATGTTTGAATTCTGTGAGTATTCCTAATGAGTCTGCTTGGAAACCACTTATTTGCAACTGGAGTTCAAAATGTGCTTGTGGTGGGAGCAGTACATCACAAACACAGACCACGATTTTATATTCCACTACTCTGTCCATTTTAGGAAGGTCTGTGGTTGTTTGCAAAATGGCAGTTGTCTTGTGATGATCTGATGAAATGGGTAATTAAGATTTTGGAGTGGGCTGAAATGACCCTGCTGCCCCAAAAGGTCTCTGACCATAAACAGAGTTGTGACGCACAGTAGCATTTCAGGCTGCAGCCCTGTCTCAGTTTGCAAATAGAAGATGAACCATGCCTGGCTCTTCATGTTTATTCTACAGTATGAGGCATCTGTAGCTGCTACATATCATCTCAACTTAGAAGCAAGGCTAGAGTAATGGTAGGGTAAATTAGGTCAGACTAATGGGAGATCAAATGTCCTCCTTTATACTCCTTACACTATAAGACATAGATATTTGGAATTATCCTTGCTCTCTGTTCAAAAAAGGGGAGGGTTTTTGGGGCTGCTTCCTATACTTCGTTTAATACCAGAGCTTGGAAGAGTTACTTCTGTGGATTATAATTCCCAAAATCCTAGTCATGCTGCCTGGTGGATTCTGGACATTTAGTTCCTCAAAGTAACTTTTCCAAGCTCTGACTATAGACTGCTAATTGTTTAGAAGGCTTTCATATTGATTTGCCCAAAGATTAAACCAGGGGTAGGCAACCTTTCCCCTTTAAGGGCCGAGGGACTTCAGCTCCCAGAATCCCAGGAGCTATTGGCCAACATGGGACTATTGGCCAACATGGCTGAGGCTTCTGGGAGCTGAAGTCCCTTGGCCCTTAAAGGGGAAAGGTCGCCTACCCCTGGATTAAACACACTGGATTTGTATGAAACCACCTATAAAGCTACTCAGAGTGGGTCATTTAAACATAGCAAACATATTTTCTTATCACACCGAAACCAAAGAAAAGAACAGGGTGTCTTGTAGCAACAGATCTTTTGTGTCATAAATGACTATGAACTAGCGCTCACATCCTTTTTGGTGGAAGCTTATGACACAATAAACCTGTTAATTTTTAAGGTGCTAATGTTTGCTAGTTTTGCTAAAGCAGGCTGACATAGCTGCTTCTCTGGAAGTTCAAATCAGAAAGGAATGTCACGTATGGATAACTGCCTTTGACCTCTTGCTAGTATTACCTAGCTGTCTCCCATTGACTGCACATGCTGGACAATTGGCAAAGGAAAACTAGTGAGGGAGAAAGCCTGAAGCAGAAAGTTCCCTAAAGCGTGGGAACTGCACATGAGAGAGGATGATGGTGCTGATTTACATCACAGTCTTTCCTTCAAGAGGAGGGCAAGTCACAAAAGGGCATTCTATAGAAAGCAACTGATTACATGCTGAACACTAAAGGAATGTTTGTGTTCCTCCTTTTAGATTAATATAGCTCTCTTTTAGCTCAATTTGCTTATTGGGTCGACCACTTCCACTTGAGACATCTACAGTTATTAAATGCAAGTTAAAGAATTATGTTTGGAAGCCTGAAGCATGCCCTACATTTTTCTTTCCCTGAATCTGATCATGGTTTGTTTTTCTTTTTAAAACAATTAATCAAATGCATTCTATTCAGTGAGATAAAAGGCAAGGCTAACACCACACACATTACACAGGGAAATATTTGTTAAGGAGCCTGCATTAATCCTTATTAGGCAAGGTCAAGCAAGTCAAGCAAGTAGACTCAAGCCTTGGCCCAGAGCTTCCTGTGCTCTTTAGTTCATTTCAGTGGATGGAAGACTCCTTTTACAGTTCTCCCCTTACATTGAAGCAGATGGGAAATCACCTTTGGGCAAGGACATTCCTTTCATCTACTATTACTTCCACATTGTTACTTACACATGCATTTCAACAAATTTATTTACTTATTCAATTCACCTTACTTTTCCCCAAGTAAGGTTTAAGGTAAGTCACAAAAAATAGTACACAAGCTAAAATGAAACATGAATAAAAATATAAAAATAGACAATAAAAAGAAGAATAGAGGACCCATCCAAGTTAAAAGCCCCTTCTGCAATAAACAAGGTTCATCACCAGTGGTAATGATTGCCAGCAGAATAACAAGGAAGAAGCTTACTCATCTTATAAATGAATGCTGAAAAAAAAGAACAGCAAAATCAGAAAAACTATTAAGGAAAACCAGAAAAATTTACATTGCCTTATCTAAAGTTTTCAGAGGTGCCAAATGATAACTGAGGTGGGAAGTCAGAACTTGGAAATTACATTTTAGACTCTAGCTCCCCGAATCATCAAGCCATGCTGGCTGGGTAATTCTGGAAGTGAGAGTTCACAAAAGCAATTTCCAGACTTAAGCAGAAGAGAAAAAAGATCTTCCAAGCAGGAACTTCCAGAGTGTGGGTATCATAACTGAGAAAGCCCTTTTCACATGCTCCCTGTAACTGTGGCTGGGGATTAGTCAGGAGATACAAGGGACTCTCTCCTGGTTACCTTACATGACAAGAGGATCCTGCAGGTGTTCCCACCCCAGATCTTTTAGGACTTTAAAAGTGATACATAGCAGTTTAATAGCACCCTAAAAGCAGCCACATGCTCCATAAAACTGGTCCTGGTCAGCAACTTCTAGTTAGTGCCTTATAGCTAGCTGCAGTTTTTGAATTGTTTTCAAGGGGAGACCCACAAGGAGTACTTTACAGTTGTCCAGTCTTGTGTAGCTAAAAGGCATGCATGACTGAGGCCAAATCTTCTGTTTGAACAGAATCATTTGGTACTCTAGTCAAAGTTGGGCAAAAGCACTGTTGAACACAGCCAAGGGGATGGCAACCCATGGAGAACAGCTTACACCCTGACCGCTAAACATGTAGTCTTCTTGCCCAAGAACACTGCTTATTTAGTTTATGTTTCAATTTGTTAGCCTTCCATCACAGCATAAGTAGTCCTAAGATTTAGAGAATTTGTTAGCCTTCCATCACAGCATAAGTAGTCCTAAGATTTAGAGAAAGGATTAATAGTTATATCTCTGTATTACTATGGTGGAGTGTTATGGGGTTTTCTTGTTTTACTTCGTTCTATTGTTGCATTTTCTGGATTCATTTCATATACAGTGTCTGGAAGTTGCTGGAATTCATGAGGGACTTGTTCAGAGCATTGTAAAGGCAGTTCAAGTCATCAGCGTTCAGTGGTTACCTCCTTCCATCTCCCTCCTTCCCCCACTTATACTGAACAGATTGGATCAGCACAAGGCTTGGAACAAGTAACCTCAGATTTTGGTGTG